GCGGGAACGAACCCCTCCCCGCCACCGTGGCAGTTTTCCCCCGGGGTCTCCCAAGCTCTCCACGCTTGGGCTGCCCGGGGCTCCCCTGCGCCTCGCCCGGGCTCCCCTGCCTGCCGAGCTTCGCTGTGCTGGCACTGCCCCATCCACACCCCGCCGCACCGGCCACGCTGCAGCCACCCCTGCAAGAGGGGAAAAAACGCCGGGTCAAAGAAGGCTCAGGCTACGGCTCCCAGCATCCGTCCCCAGCCCGCCTGGGCTTGGGGGAATAAAAAAGCACCGAAGAGAGCTATTCCCCGCTCGCTTCAAGATAGCCGGGCAGCGAGCTGGGCCCCGGCGGCTGGGCTTTGTTCAGCGAGCTGCAAAAGCGCGCATACGCTTGCAGCGCTGGGCACGCGGCGGGTTCACTCCCTGCCCCGGTACGGAGGGAAACGCAGGCAGGGAGGGAACCGCAGGCAGGGAGAGAAGCACAGGCAGGGGCAGAGCTGCCCGGGAAGGTGAATTATTGGCGGGTGCCTCGGCATGCTGGAGGAGGGCGGCTGATTTATCGTGCGAGGCCCCAGCCAAGTTCAAGGTGATGCGGTGGAGAGTGGCGCAGCACGAGCGCCGGCCACCCAGCCGCTCGGCTCTCACCTGAACGGCATCTCTCGTGCAGCGGGCCTTATCCTGCCCGCCACCCTGTGTGCCCATCCCAGCCCTCTGATGCGGCTTCATAAACCGCACTTAAAACACGTGTGCCCATCCCAGCCCTCCGATGCGGCTTCATAAACCGCACTTAAAACAGGATCCATTCTACCCGAGCGAGGATTTAAGATCAGATCGGGCAGAAGCAGCGGGATCTTTGGCAGCGGCTGCTGGTGCGAACGGCAGGGCAGGGTTAGCCAGGGCAGGCGGGCACAGCGCGGTGGGCGCCTTGCGGGGAAAGCGAGGATCTCCCGAAGGTTGCATTTAAAGAACGGCCTCATTGTTTTTCCCAAACAATACTCAGCAGATGGGAGAACTGAAAGTGTGTTGCAACCTTCCCTCTCTCCCCCTGCCGTGCCCGGCTTGCTGCTCCCATCCTTTGGCAGCCGATCTGAGCTCCCGGCTGGAAACCAGTTTACTGGAGCTACTGGTGGAGGGGGTGAGCACCGGCGCTCCCCTCTCTCGCTGAAAAGCCGCGGTGCTTTCGGGAAGGAGGTTTGCCAAAGGATGCCCCGGTGAGATGTGCCCGGCAGGCAGCTCCCCGCTATGGCCATATGCCCGAGCCAGTGGTGGCAGCCGGGTGATGTGCAGAACCAACCGGTGGTGGCCGGGGAGAGGCAAGATCCCCCTCGGCACCTGGGAGACGCGGCTGGGACTGGGCCACGTGGCCACAATGCCTCTTACAGCCCGGCTCCATCCCCCGGGCACCGCGGTGTGCCCGTTTCCCTGGGTGCTGACGGCGTTCGCCAGTACAGAGGTTTGTGCCAGGCCAGCTTGGCTGGGCTGCTCCTCGATGCCCCCGGGACCGGGTGCCACCAGCTACGGCACGCGCAGGGGTTCGTGCCTGGCCGCTGGCTCTCAGTCGGGTAGTCCGGGTACATCGCCTCTGCACTGAAACCAGTCTCCAAGGACGCATCTGAGTAAAGCGGTGGGAGCTGGGTGTCCCACCAGGGCCTGGCCAGAGACCCTCTCCCAGCC